CTGTAATGTTCTGGGTCTGGGATGTTCTCTGGAAGCCAAGGCTGAGTGCAAATAGGCAGAATTCACCCATTTCCTCAGCTATGTATTCCCCATGTGCAGTGAATAGGGGAGTTTGATCTTTTTTTTTTGGCTTAGCATTGTATTGTTGTTCTAAAATATCTTCAGCTGGCTGTTCTTGAGGGGCTGGGCTAGAGACCTGCTTGTTCTGATAAATTCCTGCAATTCCTCTGTGCCATCTCAGGGCCATTCTTGGACATCCTTCACTAAAGCTGCCTAAGGGGAGGGGAAGGGAGGGGATTTTAATAAAAGAGCAGAGATTCTCCATCATGCTGGACATTATTGGCAAGTGTGATGTGAAGCAATGACTTGATCTGACAGAAACCACCCAGGGCTGTGCTCAGAATGAACTGAGCTGTAGTTTTTTGTTCTGGGATGCACACTGGAGTGGAGAGCCATCTCTAGGGTCAGAGTTGCTTTCTTCTAGCTGCCCCTGGGGCCGGCCAAAGCTGTCCTCAGTGGGGGTCACCAGCAGCACGAGCTGCTCATTGTTCTGTCTGAGGTGGGAATGGCACTGTCATCTACAGCCCTCACTGAACAGAGAAAAATATGTGTAAAGTCTGTGAGTAGTTGAACTTGAGCAATTATGGATCTGGCCTTGCCAGAATTTGGCCTTGACATTTCCTGTGTGATGGTAACAGATGTGTTTAGATGTGGACTGCTCTGGGGACCACAGTTGCCTGCTGTGTTTGAAGTTATTCTTTATCTTATCAGCTGTCTCTCATCTGAAGGCCATTTGTATACAACTTAACTGCTTAGGAGGGTTTTGGGTAGGAGCTGTAGGTCTTTTTCTCTCATTTCTCTGCGACAAGGCAGACAAAATATCATTGCAGTCAGTGCAGTGACAGCATTTTTAGTGGAATAGCTTTTCAGAAAGCAATTAAATATTCTTGTAGTTCACAGCTGCTCTTAGGCAGCTGAAGAGTAGACAGTTCAGAGCTGCAAGTGGTTTATTGCAAATTAGGAGAAAATAATGCACCGTGGAAGAGCTGTCATGATGCTGTGGAGTTTCACAACAACTCAACAAAAGGCAGGTATTTTATATATTAATTTCATTACAGTGAGAGGGGAGATGTGAGCACAGAGAAAGAGTAACAGGGTTAGTGGTGTGAGTGTGGCCACAGGAAGAATAGGCTGGGTAGGGTTGTCTGCTGTTCAGCCATGTGCCTTCTCCCTGGGACAGCCCTTGGCTACTTTAGGAGCGCTGTGCTACTTCCCAGCAATTTCATTCTTTAAGAGCAGTATTTGTAAGCTTGTGCAATACCTTTCCCATCTGCATTTTTGCACCTTGAGGGCTTGTCTGTGTTTAAATGGGAGCACTTGGATCAGCTGAGCTGCCACAGGCTGAAGCGGGACTCACACCTGGCCTCTGCAGCTGCCCCACCACTCGCAGCCTCCCCGGCTGGGGCTGCCCTGTGCCTTGGTGACCATGGCCAGCCAGCTCTGGGCACAAACACAGGGCACACACGGGGTCACAGCTCCCTCCAAACTGTCCAGGCAGGGACAGACAGCCCAGCCCCACAGACAGGAGATTTTAATGCTGGTTTTCAGCCCATCCCTCACAAAGAGGTCATCCTACAGTTTGCTTTTTATTTTTTTCTCTGCTGGCAAAGGACATCCATTAAATATTATAGTATTATGACAACGAGCATTATAATGGCTGTCAGTGTTTTGCCTGATAATAAAAATAAAATAATAGTAAAATAGAGATAAAATAATCATGGCAATGCCTCTGCATATTTCACAATCAGCAATCAGCAATCAGATGGGAGGAAGAGTGGGGCTGGACTTTCCAACCTGAAACAGAGAGGGGCACATGGCTGATCATGGACTCTCTAGGTATGGCAGTTTTGGCACTAAATCTTTCTGGTGCTGTTAACTACAGCACATACTTGGAACTGCAGTATGACTGTGGATGCCAGGACCACATCCATCATTCTTAATACAATGCTTCTCTTGGTTTTGACCTGCCCTACAAGGGCTGTCTTGACTAATGAGGGTACTGGGAAGTGTCCACACATTGTAAAACAAAAGAAGGTTATTTCCTTACACTGTGAGATGATGTATGATGAAGAGGTATGGACAACAGCCTTTTCTGCTAGCTGCTGTTTTCACTGGGCTATGGATAGTCTTGTGAGATCACTATTATCTGTTCCAGGTTTTGTTGTGCTTTGTGTTAGGAGGTTTTCATATCTATATTACATGGACCTATGTGCAGCTGCAGGTCTAAAGGGTGAGGTGGGTCTGGATGGTCCTCTGCTCACCTAGGTGATGGAATGGGGTCTTGACTACCAATTTGTCAGGTTACAGTACCTAAATTCCTCCTCTCCCTTTACATGCCACTCAGTGTCTAGTCAATGAAATCTGCTTGGCCCGTGGTGTATATTACTAACATGTGCACGTCCCAGTGCTGAGGAAGATGTGCAGAATTTTGAAGGAAAGGTGCATGCTGAGAAATCAGAACAAAGATTGGAGTGCCCTGCAGATGGCCTACAAATGATTTTTGTCTGTAGGTAGATGTCAGCAAGGGCACTGAGCTGTACTGGGTATCTGAGCAGCTCACACTTGAGTTAGTTATGCAGAGAATTATCATAGTTCTGTTTCGAGTTCAGTTAAACCTCCCAGAAATAAAAGGAAAATGCAGCCCCTTCAGCATCTGCCTTTCTGAAAGCGGATGTTTCACACCTGCCAGGCCAAACAAGCTTTTAATTTTTATCTGATCAAACTATTTGAAAGAGAGTTACTTTAAAGAACCCAAACAGCTTCTGGAACAACATTCTTCTCTACTACTTTTATTAGTAACCTTCTTAGCTTTTCTGCAGGTGATCAGAGCTCTCCTCTGTCTGGGGGCTTGGCAGAGCCATGTGTTGTGCCCTGTGGGAAGGCTGGCATTGCCTGTGTCCCTCCTGGCTGCAGGGCTGCAGCTGGCCATGGCTTATACCAGCTCTCCTGGCACTGCAGAACACAGTCCCACAGGTGAATATCCCGAGGGCTGCAGCTGTTAACCTTTTCCTTCTAATGCAGCTATTTTGGTAAGAAAAAAACATTTTCACAGGAAAGAAAAAATAAGGCTCTTTACAAAGAAGTAGCCTTTATTTTTAATTGATTGCCGTACTGATGAATAAATATGAGTCTTCTCTGAAAATATTTTCTGAAGTAGTTTCAGCCCACATGTCATGGGGTTTGTTAAAAATAAATAAAAGTTCTTGAGAGGCAAATACTGTGATCTGTCCCTAGATAACTTTTCAAAAGTAAAATCTGTCCTAGAAAATTCTGTGAATGTCTTTGTAGAAGTAGGATTGTGCCTGAGAGCCAGAGAAGAGTAAATGGAACTAAGCATGGAAGAGCCATGGAAAGCTGGATGAAATGTAGGTTTAAACAGTAGACATTCACCAGGGCTTTTTTATTATTGTTTCTGTTTAAACTATTTAGAGTGGTATGGATAGTTTCTCACATGATAAAGGCTATATTTGTAGTGTGACAAGTACAGCCATTCTTGCCTTAAAGAAATAGGAAATGTTGTTTCCTTTCCTCCAGCATTTTTTCACAAAAAAAAAAAAAAAGGAAGAGTTTTTATTACAATGCCATTCCTTTTATTAGCTTTGTCCTGCAGTGTTCTGTGGTATTTATTTGTAAACATTATGGTCAGATGCCTGTTCTTTCTTTTACCATGTTGTTACACCATTACAAAAAGCACAAACATTTCTGAGTTCATCATCTGTAAAATAAGGTAAGTCCGTGAAATGATGTCAAATGAGCCAAGTTCAGCTGAAGCACGGGTTCTCAGCTTTGGATGGGTCACTTGATGAAAGGTGCACCATCTAGACTGTCCAAAGAAGTGACAAAAATTATGAAAATGCCAGCTTTGAGGGATCTCAAGGAGCTGTGGTTAGTTTAACAGGGAGGCTGAGGTGTCAAGCCCAGTGAGGATGGCTGCAAAGGAATAATTCCTGTGCCAGCAAGGATGGGGTGACCCCTATCAGGTGTCAATCAGGTAGCAATAGGAAGAAGTTTCTTGCTGACAGCAAAGCACTGAAATAGGTGGCCTGAAAGGGCTAAGGTGGTATCCTCAAAGGCATAGATTAGAGGCTAAAGGGGATGCAAGCTTTGAGGTTAGGGAATGGGCCTGATGACCTTCAGATCATGTTTGCCATGAAAGATGGGATTTATTAATTTTAAATGCTCTGACTCCCAAGGCTGTGGTTTTGGAAGAAATAGCAAAGCATCATGAAAGCTACAAACACTTGAAAGGTTTGGAAACAGTAGAAGAATTGAGTGAGGCAGAAACTGCCTCCATGGACAGGAGCAGAACTTTTCCTCCCTCAGAAGTGGGTCTTACAGCCCTCAAGTTGGCCAGGAGAGAGGAGAAGGAATAAAGTGGCAAGGCAGTGCTTGTTTTACCTTTCCGCCACGCCCTGCAGCCTCTGGCCATTTTCACTGTCTTTTGAAACACAAAGTGATCTGCACCAGTAGTGTTTGAATAGCAAATATCAGTGCAGCATAAAGCAAAGGGCACACATATTAGAAAATGAGCAGCCCCTGGTATTTCACAGCATAATATGCACCAGAAATGCTTGCAGGTTGCTGTTCTCTCATCTTCTGATTGTTTTACAAAAGTTGGCTGGCTATCCTTGGTCTTATTAGGGCATAAAGAAATGAGGAAAAGAAGAATGGAGATAAAAAACAAGCAATTTGGTAATTTATATGCTTATTTTGTATGTAGCATGCTGAGTCAACTGTTTATCTGTTAGTAGGAAAGGGCTAAAATAAAACATTGTCTTGGTTAGGTTAATACCACGTGAGGAGCTGCAGGACAGGGAGGAAAGTAGGGCAGCCTGTTTTGGAACTTGTGCTGGAGAGCAAACAAAAACCCCCAAGGTAAACATTCACTTAGCATATGTCACGCTTATCATAAAAGGCATGTGGGTGCTGTTTCTTTGCAGGGATGCCGGAGCTGCCCGAGCCGATGCCCGTGAGCAGAGCGCACGCCGGCGGTGCCGTGGCTGAGGGGAGCGTCCCGGCCTGCTGAGGCGGCCCCGGGCCTGCTGCCTCCGGGGCTGGCGCTGGCACCTGCTGCAGCTGTGCCTGGAGAGGGGCAAAGGAGCCTGACTTCGCTGAGAGAGTTTTCCTGGCAGGGGAGGGCATGCAGGGCACAGAACCGTGCCAAAGAGCCTGGGAGTGCAGGTGCGAGTTCCCTCCAGCCGTGCCGTGGTGAATCGTGTCTCTGCAGCCGCGCCTTGCTCAGCGCCAGGGCTCTGAGGGCTGCCCATGGCGCCTGGGCTGCAGTAGTGCCTGCTCTGTCTCCGCTTGAGCCATCTGGAGAGCTGAAGAACACAGCAGGGAAGATGTTGGACTTGAGCTTCCTGACCGAGGAGGAGTATGAAAAGCTGATGAAGGTTCTGCAGAGAGATGCAGAGCTGAAGAAGAAGGATGGGGATCGCATCAGGTGAGAGAGTGTGTGACAGCAGGATGTGAGCTTCCCTTGGGGAATACTTTGTGAGTGTGTGAACAAGGAGAGGTGCAGCTTGCAGCAGTGCTGTCCCTTTTTCTCAGATCCTCATAGGTCTTTTCATTGTACCTGGTCTTTCTCAGCCATCCCTCTGTTGCTGCTGTCCTCTCCTTGCAGGAGGGGACTTTCCTTTTGAGTTTATTCTCAGCCCTCAGAGATGCCAAGGGCAGTCACCCCTTTCCTGTTCAGTGGGGGAAGACGTTGATTTCTTGGTGGCAGGGGAATAGCTGTTACCTTGTTTTATGCACCTGGTAGCACAGAAAGGCCACAGTGTGTTTTAAAATGGGATTTTACGTTCCCTTCTCTGTTTTGTGTTGCCTCATTGCTTTTTGAGGTGGGTGTCATACAGAGTGGGGTGATTAGAGGCTACATGATCTGCCAGAGGTTTGCAGGGAGCTGTTCCAGAGCCAGGGATTCTGGATTAGTTCAGCTCCTCTGCCACTGGCCATCCTGGAGCTCAGGTCTGGTTTATCAGGATTGCTTGTTGCTGCTGTTGCTTTTTAAATGCCAGCCATTAGACCATGTGGGCTGACAGTGTGCAGCAGGCTCAGGGAGCTGGCACTGAATTCTCCATGGCAAGAAATTAGTAACTCACTGGGGGTGGATGGCACTGTGCCAGTTTACCCCAACTAAGGATGCAAGTCTTCAATTTGCTATTGAGCCAAAAAAAAAGAGTAAGGCCCTACAGAAAGGATGCTCAAGGCTTGAAGAGGGAGCAGGAAGCTTTGTTGCAGGCTCCTGTGTGCCCTGACCTCTGCTTGGGGGTGGGAGCTGGGGAAACAACTGTAAGCCAGAAGCCTGGACTTAGGGTGTACGTGTCTGCATGCTCTTCTTACCTCTCCTCTGAATTGAAACAATCTCAAAATGGTTTGTTTTTTATTTCTTTTGGGGTTTGTTTTTTTGTTTCTGAAATGGAGTAAATTTTTCCTCTGAAATGGAGGTTTGGTAAAAAGAGTGTTTGGATTATTTTCGTTTTGTTTCACTTCTATTTGAAAGCTGTTGCACAGGAGGCTTTGATCTGGAGTGAATTAGGTCCTGCCCAGAGCCCCTTGCTGTCAATTTAGCTACCTGTGGTAAGACATGTTTAGTTTCAACACAACCTGCCTGCTGGGCAAAAGGAAGTCAATGGCATTTCCTTGATCTGCTGTCAGCAAGGTTAAAATAACTATTTCCTCTGGCCCAGCACCTTGAGAGGCAGTGAATGGAGGCAGTGCTGTCCTTGTCTAGATGGCAGCTTCTCTTGAGTCCCCAGCAGGGCCTGCAGAGGCTTGAGCCCAGTTATCCCTGGTCCCTCCCAGCCTTTAGGCAGCCAGATGTGACCCTTCAAGGCTCCTGGGTTATCTGGGGGCTTTCCCCTTTTGCTGCTGAGAACTGGGCTGAGGAGGGAGCTTCCTCTGGCCTCCCAGGTTTCAGAGGAGCCCTGAACTCTGGTGAGCTGTGCCAGCTAAAAGCAGCTAATTCAGCAAGCATGGTGAGGAGAATTAGAGTATGGGCTGGCAACAGAGCACTGACAGGTTTAGGTGCCAAAAATCAGCCCTGGGTGTGCCCAAGTGAGGTATAGTTGGAGAAGCCATGCTTAGGAGGGAGAGCTAACCATGCAAGTGCCAGAATAGGCATGGCAGGGGAGCAGGGAGAGGAGCAGTGTCCAGGGAGAATGCTGCAGGGACATGGTTGCTTCCCTAAATATCATTATTTGTTTCTGTGGTTTGAAGCAAATTTGGTCCAAAAGGTTTTGCCATAAATAGATTAATAAACAAATAAAATAGAGAAGTGCAAGACAGACAAACAACCCCACCCCTTCCTTAACCCTCAGGGCAGCCAAGCAGGTGGACAAATCTCCTTGCCAGGTGAATGATTTGGATTTGTGAAATTTGGAAGAGGTGAAATCCTGTGTTTACAAGCTGCTGTTACCATTTCAGATAAAGAGTAAATCAGCTGCTGTTTTAATGCTGCTTTGGCACTTGTGATTGCAGAGAATAATCTCTGGATCCTTTGGACATTTTGCAAAGGTAGCTCAGGGGAAGCCGAATGCTGAAGATCTGCTTGGTGTGTAATGCTTGCACTGCCTTTCAGAAGGATCCAAGGCTCCATCACAGATGAAAAGAAGAAGAAGTTTGTGACAGGTGAATGGTTTTCAGAAGTGAAGGCAAAACGGTTCCAGGAGGACTTGGCAGGGCCAGATCTACTTCGAGCATCAATCAGAAGGAAAAAGGGCAAACTAGAAAGTAAGTATGTTAGTATGCATCTTAAGAAAACAAATTGAAAAAAGTTGGTCCAGGATGGGAGTCTCCCTGTACTGGCAGTCTGTTGAGAACCAGAAAACATCTCTTGTTATCAAAATCAGGGCCGAAAGAAATAATTAGTGTGGCAGAGAACCAAGGCAAAAGCCACGTGCAGTGAATGCCTTTTCCCCACTTCAGCTTTTTTTTTTTTTTTTTCTTATTTTTCCCCAAATTTCTGTTTACTAGAGGTCATTGGTGTCATATCTTACCACAGAAATAAAAAGAGAAGGGGATGATGTAGGACAGTTTCTGTTCTGGCATCAAGTTGACATATGTGGGTCAAACACATCCCTCTGCCCAGGTTCCTGGAGTGGTCTGACAAGAGCTGCTCTCACAGCCCTCTGGAGTGGTGAGGTCAGTCACATTTCTGCAAAGCGAGAGGATGCCTCTCTCCTCCTGGTATGCATTTGCCCACTTCAGAGGGTCCATGCATCACTTCTTGCATGGAAATAATTCCAAGGCAAAATGTGCTTTTCAAAGTAGAAAGGGCTTTGTGGCCATGTGTGTGCCCAGGCTGTGTGCCATATGTGCTAATGGGAAGCAGATGTGTTGTTTGACATGCAGATAAACTTTCATGGAGCTGTGTAAAACAGATCAAAGCAGATTTGTCAGCTCAGGGCAAGAGATCAGCCCTGTGTGAAACAAGCAGGACCATGCTTAGAGTCCAAGTGTAGCTAGCCTGGAGCTGGAACTTTGTGCTGAGCACCTGTGCAAAGCAGAGCTGGGGATGATTCACATCGTCCCCAACATGAGGACAGGCCAGCAGCCCAGTGTCGCAAGTGTCACTCCTGGATGGTTTGCAGGGTGGGCTGTCACAGATCCTCAGCCAAGGCTGCTGCCCTGGGGAAGCCTTGGCCCCGACAGGCAGCTCTAAGCAAAGCCTGCCACTGTCTCTAACAAGGGCCCCATGGCTGGGCTCTGATCTTTTGCAGTAAAGGCTACAGCCCCTGGCAGAGGGGCATCTGTCCAGCACTCAAATGTCATCTCCAGCAGTTCAGTTCAGCCATCATTCCTGGGCCCAGCTTCCCCTTCTGCCAGGGGGGCAGCAGTATAGATCACTCCTTTGTTTGGTGACACTTTTTGGCCAGGATGTGTCTGTAGTAGGAATTGCCTGGATTTAGGGTACCCCTCCTTGCTCCATGTTACTTAGATACATTCTGAAAGCTAAATGCTGACTAGGGACTTCACTGAGAGCCTCGTTTTATTTTTGCTCTTTACCTACTCCTGACAGCTCTCATAACTTAGCACAAATTCATTGGAACCTCTCATGCAGAACTGGCCCATCATATTTCATATGAAGTTGCTTTTATCCTTGGTATTATAAATTCATGATATCATTAGATTTACTATTCTATCATGCCTCCAGAATGCTAAAACATATAAGACGTTTTCCACCTTGTCAGAGGTGTCTGGCTTTTCTGCAGAGCATGTTCTCTTTTTTGAGGATGTGCATTTGTGCTTGCACCCTCTTGGCATGGAGGGGCAGAGCTTCTGCAGCCTTTCTGCCAGCACCCAGCTCAGGCAAATGCTCTGCAGCCCAGCCACCAGCCTGCAGTGAATAGGATTGTCTGCCCTTTGCCTTGCTCCCTTAACTCTGCCCACTTCAGGAAAGCAGAATTTGAAGTATTCCTGATTTTATATTTAACTTTTAGGGCTGATGTGTACATATCAGATGATGTCTCAGGTCACATATAAAATAATCTCCTTACTAATGCAGCAATATTATGCAAGAGTCATTGCACGTGCATTACTTGACTAATGCTGTTTTAAGAAGGAAGAAGCAAATGTAATTAAATATAGTTATGTCTAGATTTAGCCTTTATTCCTTTTTCAACTTTCTTTTTTCCTTCCCTTTTTCCTCTGTTTGTATCTCAGACTTATTTTGATAAAGCACAGGTATAACATATGACTTTATTCCTTCCTCTTACTTTTTCCACTGCCATTTTACATCACTGGTTGTGCATCAAGATTTTGCAGCTAATATATTCACCTTAGATGAGATAAGAGCCTTTGCTTGCCGTATTGACAACTTTTTTCCTTCCCCTGGAAAGATCAGTCATGAAGGCATGACTTCAAGGTGATGAAGGGGTACGTGTTCATTTAGTCAAATCTGTGTTCATAGCTCCTGATTTGAGTCTCTAGACTTAGCTCTGTGTTAGGGAGTGAAATGAGAAAATTCCTACATGGAAAAGCCCCACTGAGATAATTGCTGGCATTCCCTTTGCAAGGTAAGTGGGCTGAGGAGGAGTGGAAATTTATGCTTGCAAAGGAGAATTCCCAGTGATCTTTTCTGGAGGAGGGTTTTAGCCTTCATAAGGGAGGGTTATGGGGATCCCTAAGGGTTTTCACAGTTTTCACAGGTATTGATTGTAGTAGAAAACACTAGTCATGGGTAGTAATACAAATCTATAAGACAGATAGATACCCTATATTTAAACTGCAGCCTGCAGAGCAGCACAGATGGATGAATTTGATGATAGCTTCTCCTTGCACTTATCTGCAATTCTTGAGGGCTAAAAATCACCTATGTGAGAGACCATTTTATCCACCTGCTGTGGCAAATGAGCCCTGATGCACAGTTAGTTATGAATGTCCCAGGCACTAAGAGTCTTTGTTTTAGAGTGGTAGGAAATGAGCAAAAGTGTTAAAGCAGGGCTGCCTGTCAATTTTATACAGATGTATAAAAATACATGTATGGGCAAATTAACCTGGTCAGGCCACTCCTGATTTCTGTTGGAATTTGCTTCTTCTATTGTCTCATCCTAAACTTAGAAAAGGCATATTGCTTGTCTTGATGGATTATAATGTACTAAACTGTTTGTGGTGATAGGAGCCAGGTGTAGCTGTGGCACTGGCTGAGCCATTTTTCAGGGCAGGGATTTGGATGGGTGGAAGTGAATGAAGGCTTCCTGTTGCCTCTGCCAGCCAGGAATGAGGAGCTCTGTCTGAGGGGGAAGTGTCAGTGAAGAGCAAGTCCAACACAGAGCCTTTGCAAGAGGGATGAGAAATGAAGGCAGTCTTTGGTTGTTGAGGTCTTTTCAACCATGACAGGCAAAGGGAAAGCGTGGGAGCTCTGTGTTTGGGCCCTTCACTTCCAGCACAGCTCCCTGCTGGCACCTCCCTCCCCCAGGTCTGAGACAGAAGAGGAGGATGTGGCTCACTGTATCAATAAACCTCCTCAGTTTGCCCTGCTGTGCCCACACGTGCTATGGCCAGCACGTGCCACCAACCATGCCTCAGGCTTTGTCTCCTAAAACAATGTTCAGTGATGCTTTGTGCACACCAGTGTTGACATGGGCAAAACAGTCCCTCTCTCAAAAGCATGCTCTCTAAAACTGCCTCATTCCTACACAACCAGACTCTTATTTTTCAGCAGGAGCATCTCCCCAACTTCCCACTGCTGTGGAAACCACGGGCCCCCCCAGCTGCCACCCCGTGTGTGCCAGATGTGCAGTCCTCATGCACACAGCTCTGAGCAGTGCCTGCTCTGTTCCTGCTCCTCAGGGCCAGGTGCTGGGTTAGCAGGCATGGGGGAGTGAATCTTTGGGTATTCCTGTGACTTGGAGGCTGACTGTGCTAATGCTGGATGGCACCACACAGGCAGTGTTGAGTCTTGAGTTTTCTCATCATAGGACTGGCCTGCTCTTGGCCCTCATGTGGTTTTCCAAACAAATAACAAGCAAGACTATACTGTTTAATATTATTTCTGAATCCTCTGAACTTCTTTTTATATTAAATTGTTTAATGAAATATATCCTAAAATGGTTTGGCAGTTCTTGTAACAGGTAGATTTTCTCTTTAAAATAGACCTAGCTGCATTAATAAAATGTGCAGATCTCTGTTTGAGATTTTAATCCTTTTGGTTTTGCAGTAGCAGTAAAACTCATTTGCTAACAAAATATCTAATGCAGCGTTATACCGTGCAATCTGCTGTAAAAGTTACCATCCTCTATTGTTTTTAATTTGGGGTCTTAGGGAGCTCACAAGATATAGCTGGGCCTTGTGCCAATAAAAATAACAGGGATCTCCTCATTAGCTGTATTGGCCTCCTCCTTTGTTTGCCAAGATCGGGTGACTTGAGTCAAAACAGGAAATGGCTGAATTTAAATCCTGGAACAGATTAACTTTATTGACAGTCAGTGGCAGTGTCCTGTGGAGCTTTCCAGTGATGTGACAGCTCCTGGCACAAGTCGGGCATTGGGCAGCTTTGTCCTCTTGGACCTGTGAGGTCTGGAAGTGCCTTTGCTGCCCTGGGACCTCTCATCCTTGGGGAGATAGGGCAGAACCCCTGAAAGCCCTCTCCTCTTAAACCCCCAGGGATTGTGCTGGTGGGACTCTTTTTCATTGGGCAAAGCATTTTCTTGCCCCAAAGAAAACACACCAAACCCGACAAGTTGAATGAAATGTCATTTCTCAGTTGTCTCTCTTATATTCCAGATGAGGACAACAAGCATATCCAGACGAGTCTGGAAAGCAAAGCTGCCCCAAGTCCTGCCTGTCCTGAGGACATTGCTGATGCAGGAGAGGGAAGGTAACACTGCTGCATGTGCAATGCTCAGGCTGCTGCTCTTACTTCTAATGAAAATTGAATGCTATCCATTAAACCCTGGTCTCTGAGTTGCCAAGACTGTATAAGTAATAAGTTCTATAGGATATTTTTTAAGTCTTTCCTCTAGGAATTGTCAGAATATCAATCTGCCCCTAATAATCAAGTGCTAATGTGCTTATCCCACAAAGGTCTTTTCCTGCATGATTTGATAAGGGATCAGTAAAATGGAAGCTGTCTCTAATGTCAGGATGTGCTGGTTAGTTTTTCAAAGTAATTATGGTTTTATTTGTTTAATTTTTGCTATGAAGCAACACTAACAAAATGAACAGTTTGAGGAAACTGCCCATTTCCTGCTGTGGTGCCAGCCTCTGTGTCCAGTGCTCAGCACTCTCCATCAAGGCTTGGTAGGTTTTCATGTTGTGCTGACTGAGAAGAAGCATCTATTAAAAGCACTCCAATGAGCAAGTCAGTGACCTCACTCAATATCCGCGGACTATGGAGAAGCGTTTAAAATATTCACATATTCATGTATTGTTGTTCCCATCTCATTTGCCTTTTTTTGTCAGCAGAATGGGGAATCATTCTCCCCAGGTGACAGTTGCTCCAGTTTAATATTAAATATGGGCCTTGACAACACTTGGAAACCTCTTGCAGCTGATTAGTGGGTGTTGTTTAATGAAGGCTCCAAAGGCAACAGGCCCTAGGTACTCCTGCTGTGCTGGCACAACACCCAGTGTTTTTTTTTTGCAGGGGTTGATTAAATCCTGAAAAGCTAGCTTTGTTTTTCTCATTCAGTATAAAGCAAGGTGTGGCCTGTTCCTTCCTGGGCCATAGCATGGAAATGTCTCTCCCTTCTGCACGGCCCTTGGGCTCTTCTGGCACTTCCCAGACGGGGAAAGTCTGAATAAACCTAGTAGTTGACACACATTGTTTTTATTGAGCAAGTTCTGCATCTGAGCAGAGCTGAGGTGATGTTGAAGACTGCCTGAGCACCCAAACAGGCACATCATTACCACAGATCTCCTTGTTCAGGCATTTCTCCTCTCCCACAGATCCAGTACACCTACTCTTGAAACCACAGAGCAGAAAATTGTGCCAAAACTGAAGCCAAGACTGCCTGTCCAGTTGTCTGCATCATACAAGGTAGTACAGGCACAGCCTCTGCACCTTTGTTGCTTCTTGGAGCTTCACAAAATCTATCCCTACTGACGGGGGCTCCACAGTCTGCCTGCCCTGGTGTCTCTGCTCAAATAAAATACATTCTTTCCAGTCTTGCCAGTATTTATACACTAATAAGATTTGTTTTCTGTTCAGAGATCCAGCATACATGATGTCTCTTCCTCAGAGAGTGATACTGGAACAAGTCCATTTGTGACTGCAACAAACAGCTTTCATTTGTCTAAAAAAGGTAAGTTTTTGTTCAGTGAGCTGTTGGTGCTTTTGTTACTCAACATCAAACACCAAGAGACAAGATGCTTTTCAATGTGTGTACAAATAAATAACAAGGAGTACCTTGGCATATAAGAATGGGCTGCCAATGCTTTGTGGATTACAGGCAGGGCAGCAGGGACCAAGGCAGAAAGCAATCTGATGACTGAAACTTCTCTGGGCTCTCAGTACATATTGAACTGAGTGCTTGGCTCTCAGCTCTTTAATCCAGAAGAGGATTTACCCTCTCTTTCCAGCATTGACTGTATAATGTAGTTTTAGAACATAGCAAATAGCCAGTAGGGAAGCTGTCAAATTGAAAGGAAACCTGCAAACAAATCCACAACTCACAACAACAGTTTAGAACTCAGTGGATTTTTTCTGTGCCCTGTTGCAGGGAGAAGGACTGGGGTTTTCAGGGCCTTCTTCAGGTGGGAGAGATCTTTCTAGAGTCTGAGTATGGAAAAGAACTAGGAATATATTGATGATTTCTGAAAATTCCCTGTCTTCTCATTGAGAAAATGCAGCCCAGACCTTCTTTGGAGATTGGATGTGATGCAGTGGGACAGGCTCTGAGCATTTGTTGTTGTTGTAGGTCATGGAGTGTCTCCATTGCCCACCAAGGTTTCAGAGGATGCTGTGCCTCAGCCCAGCACTGCAGCTGGAGAAGCTGCTGATGGGGCCGCTGGCACCAGAGAGGGGCCAAAACCTCCACGTGAAGAAATGTACGCTCCCAGCAAAATACCAGTTAAGAAGAAACCAAGCAGAAGCCTCCCCAGATCTGAGCAGGTTGTGAACCACGTGGGGCCAGCAGAAAACAGCCTGGCAAAGAAAGAGCCGCTGGCAAGCCCCAGACCACTGCCCGCAGCAGGGGAGAGCAGCTGGGCTGGTAAGCAAGGAGTGAACTACACCATCTCGTCCATGGGTAACAAGGAGGAGGATATCGGCCTCGACCGTGAGCACTTCAGGAGCTTGAAGGACTTTTGGGAGAAGGGAGCAGAGCCAGGCCGGGCCGAGGCGGACGCTCGGCAGTCCGGGCTGTGCCGCTCACTCTCCCTGCAGTCTGGGCCAGGCCAGGATGCTGGAGAAAAGCCTGGTGCCTTCACCAAAACCAGGACCCCCTCTAAAAGGACAATAACGTTGTCTTCTAGTGAGGAGGAGCCAAGCTGTGGCACTCCTGCAAGGAAGGGCTCAGTTTCCGTCGCTCCCAGATCCACGTGTGCCAAGAGCAAAGGGGGTCTGGCTACAAGAAATGACTTGCTGAGTGAAAGCAATGGGAAGCTGCTGATGCCAGAGGAAGAGAAGGTGGTGCAGCACTGCTCCAAGAAATCCAGACTGCCTGTGCGGGCACCTTCCATCCAACTGGAGTCGCCCACCAAGGATGTGTCTGGCAGCTCGCTGGGGCCGGGGACACCCGTGGAGGAGCACAAGCCCACAGGGAGGTCCCTGGCCAGCAGCGTGCAGATCCTAATCGAGCCTGTGCCCACAGATGGTGAAAGTGATGATGAGAAAGAGGAAAGATCTGGTCTGGGCACTCAAGACAACATGGAAATAAATGGAGAGCTACCTGAGGAAAAAATGTGCAAGTCTTCAGACCAGCCAGCACCTGGTGAACTGTCTGGAGAGAGAGAAGCTGTTCAGGGAACAGACTCAGCTGTTTACTCAGGTACTGAGGGCTGTGAGTGCACCCTGTGAAATCCAAATAGAGAGCCATCCCTAGGCTGGTTTTCTTCCCTAATCCTTCTGCATTTTGCACATTTTCTTCATCTTCCCATTTATCCTATATTGCAATTTGTGCAGAGTTAGCTTGTGTAGAATGTGTTTTACAAACAGCTCTGGAAGCAAATCTTGTGTAGCCTAGTGCGAGTGCAGAAGGGGACTGTGCCATGTTCCCTTGCTTTCCTCCCCACTCCCAGCCCCTATGCCTTACCTGCAAGCACCTCACCTTGGGACAGCTCTCCACTGCCTCCAGCACATCACAGGAACTCACTTTATTTCACTCACTGGCAAGATTTTCTTCAAATGTAGGACTGGAAGAATTATTTGTGATAGTAGAGATAAGCCTAACACAAATAGAAGAAATAAAATGTGAAGCAAAGTGTTTAATAAATACACTGGCTCTTAGAGTACCTTGATATAGCCAATGGTTGTCAGTGCCTAAATGACATTTTGTGTCTTTTTGGAATGCACAAGTGGACTTTGATATCAAACTTTAAGCAAAGTGGACTGAATTAGGAGTCTGATCTTCCTGGGTTCTGATACCGTGTTCTCAACCATGATGGTGTCAATAGCATCACCATTTTAGCAGCCTCTTCCTCTGGGTTTGATGGAATCTTGTAGTGACTATTACTATGAGAAAACATTATTGTTATTTGCAACTCACATTACATTTGGACTCTGATTACCCACAGCTCTGCTCTCTTCCAAGTAAAGACCTACAAAGAGAGAGCATCTTCCCTTCTTTTTCCAATTTTTCTGTCCTCATGTACCTGGGTAAGACCTGTTTGAAAGGATTTTCCACAGACTCATCTGCTTTTTATTTTTTAATTGTGTCATTTCTTGGCTTATTTCCTACCTCATATAACATTCCAATGAAAATCCTGAGTTGCATATCAGGTCATGGCAAATATTTTCTTTATGGAATATTGTGGGTTGTAAAAGACATGTAAGAGCATTAAGTCCAAGCATTTATAGACTAGATCATACTAGTATTTCTCAGGGTTTTTTCTTTATTAATTTGTTTGTTTTAGGATGATACTAGCAGATGGCTCTGTTTCTCTGAAATCTCTTCCTGAGAGTTGGTCTGTCTTGGAGACTGGGTTAATCCAGTATTTACATTTCCTGACACAGTGTGAAGAAGTTCTCTCACGGCATCATCAGAGCACCTGGATGACTGGGAAGGAGCTCTGGCAATGTAACTGTAGTGTGCTCTAGACAGAGGCACCAAGGGAGGCACACACACACACACACACACACACACAGGGTTTTTGATGCACTGCCCATTTGTGTTTATTTATTTACCATGTTGATTTGGCTTTTTGTTTATTCCAGAGGAAGATGGTGATCATTCTCCTGCTGCTCAGGCACTGGCCCGAGCAAATAGCATTAATCTTGCAAAGAGCATGGTGAACATTTACACAACCACGGAGAGTGAGTAACATCTTTCTTTCTTCTTTTTGGTTTACATTTGCTGAAGGTAATATATTATGCCAGTTTTCATCACCATGCTTCTGTGCTAGGAAAATGACATATTGTTTCATCATCAAATTAGAGAGTTTATACTACCTCAAATTAAATTCAGAGCCAGGAAATTACAGCTAGATTGATGGTTTATTACTTCAGCAAAAACACAAGGGCTTGAAAGGGTTGGCAAGAAGCTCATGCTCGTCTCTCCTGTTCCTGCACGAGGCTGTGGGATCTGCTGGCAGCCTGTGGATTGATCTGAGGTGCCAGACCTGGTGTCAGTCTGTGGTGCCACAGACTCCTCCTGCTCATGAGGCCTCTCCCCTCACCCAGAGCAGAGCCCGTGGCTGGACTGATGTCCCCAGCTGCCAGTTAGGACACGTTTTGTGGTGACAGTCTCTGAGAAACCCAGAGAAGCTGAGGAGAAGTCAACCAAGGAAGCAGCAGCCTGCCTGAAGAAGCCCAAGAAAGCTGCAGCCATGGAAAGCACCTGAGGGAAGGCAGCAGCAGCCTCTGTGCCCAAGAAAGCCAATGACAATCCCCAGGGGTGACACCTGGAAAACCCAAAAAGAGAGCTAAGAGCTTGCCTCAAAGGGAAGTGGCAAGGCCAAAGCTGCCAGGACTGAAATGAGGAATGTGGGAAGGCAATGCCCAAGGAAAGGTAAAGGTAAAGCCACTTAGAGGCTTTGACGGAGCCAGTTTAAGTCCAAGGCTGGTTATGGGAGGGAGGCAGCTTGCTGGCAGGTCTCACTGCACAGCCCTGTGGCTGTGCCCACCCCAGGTGGCACCTAGTGCCAAGCACTGCCCCATCATGTGGTGCCTGACACGTCACAGGGCATGTTGGCTCAAAGCTCCAGGCTGCACGTTGCTGTCCAGGGACGTGATCTCCACCAAAGCAACCAAGAGTGCAGCTTCCCCTGATCTAGAGCCCCAAACCTCATCCCTGGAAACCCTCCTGTAACAGAGAGACAGTTTCATGTTTGCAGTATAGCAAATGGTCTGTGGATACTATTATTTATTCAAGGTTGGAAATAAAAATAGTAAATACCAAATAAATGGTAAGTCAAGAATCTCTTGGGCATTTTGAGGACCAAAGAATGTATCATCACACCTAAAATGCCAAACAAGTGTGCATATGAACATGCATGTTCATGTACATAAGTCTTTCCAAAACAAATTATTCTGGGATGGAGAAAGTCATCTTCAAGAGAGTTACAGGAGAAGATAAAGATACAAAAAAAAAAAGTTTTCATCAGACATTTAAACAGTACAGTAACCATCTTTCTATTTATAGGAAACTTTCTAACCTTTTTCTTTTAGATAATTTGGCTATTGTCCACCTCTGTGTCTAACAGAGTATTTGAGAGGTGTATGCAATGGTGAAATTGTGGGTATAAATATTTTAGTGCTCTTTCCTACAGGGCACTGTGCTATGAGATAAAAATGTGAACATGATTGGTTTCTTTGACAAGGAGGCAGATTTGGGTGGTTTTAGTGTGAGTTCAGTCTACACAAAAGTGGCAACATCCACGTCCTTGTGCCGATAAAGGAATTAGATGAGCCACTAGAGGGAGTTCCACACTCCCACACAGGGAATGAAAACGTGCTGAAAACAGCTCCAGGATATTATTTAGCAGTTTTTGTCTTGGGGAGGATCAGCTTCAAAGACAGGTGACACAGAGCAAGTAGGTAGTACTCCAGTGCCTTTCACAAGCTTTTCGTCCTTCCTTGTGCCATTTAACTAAAGTATGACAATTTCTTGATTCTGACAAACTATCTTGATGCCTTTTCTTTTTACCTGCAGCATACAATAAACCACATTTGATTACACATCAATTTCTTGAACCTGAAAGAGTCAAAGAACTGAGCAGATCCTCTCCTCTCCTGTTGTCTGAGGTGGGTTGATGCCAGAAATGGCTGAAATTGTGTTCACAGCATCCCCCGGAATGGCAGTTGGTGTCATGAAAATGTTTCTCATGGAGACCAACAGGTCTTGCTTTAGAGCATGCCTTGGTTATTTAATGAATAAATGAGAAGTACCTTAAAAAAAGTCCCCCAGTAGCCCAGAGCAGCTGTTCCACCCTGGAGGATGTTGCCCTGTGTGTCAAACCACGCTGTTGTGTGCCCTTTCCCAGAGCCCAGGCGGGGCGTGCAGCTCTGTTTGGAGGCAGTTCATGATGACGTTCAGTGCTGCTTGGAGGGGATGCCCTGGGGAGGCTCCCTGCACTCTCCTCTGCTCTCCTAACCTGATCTCTGCTTCATGGGACTCTGCTGAGCAATTCCTTTTTCTCTCTAGTGTTGCAAAGTGCTCGTTTGGCACAGCTTAAAGATGCTTCTTATTTTCTGAGCAGACGGAATCGGACACGGCCTCGGAAGTCAGCTTCCAGCTGAACAGGCACAAGAAGACGCCCAGCACCGGCAGCCACTCGTCTGACATGGCTTCAGTCTCCTCGGTAGGTTCCGAGTGCGGCAGCTGCTGGACAGGGATGATGGGGCCACTGGCACCAGAGGGGGCCCAAAACCTGGCCAGGGCTCCTGGACAGGGCTGATGGGGCCACTGGCACCAGAGGGTGTCCAAAACCTGGCTAGGGCTCCTAGCCAGGGCTCCCGGACAGGGCTCCTGGACAGGGCTGATGGGGCCACTGGCACCAGAGGGGGCCCAAAACCTGGCCAGGGCTCCTAGCCAGGGCTCCCGGACAGTCGCTGCAGTGATGCTGCATTTCAGCTGCTGCTATGGTGTGGCCTCCAGAGCAGCCTGTTGGTTTCTGCAGGGTACGTTCTTAAAGGAACAGGGGTCATTAATTACTTGCTCAGGTTAAATCCAGGTGCCACCTCAAAATAGCGACCTACTGAGTCATCGCTGGTCAAATTCTCCACAAGCGACAGCCACTACTGCCAGGTGTGGATGCTCCTGGTGGTGCAGAAGGTGGGGGAGGGGTTTCTAGGTGGGAAAGTGAGGCACACAGCTATTAAGAGACATGTTTGTGGTTCAGGACTGCTGATGGGTACCCTCTGCAAGCTCATCCTTTATCAGCAGAAAAGAGGGAACTCAGAGTTGGACAGCAAAAGCATGTTTTGAAGCTTCAGCCTCTAAGGAAAGCTGAAAAAGCTGGATGTGTTTAGTTGAGTGTTCCTTAGAGACAGTATTTGGGGAGAGATCTGCTTAAAAGTGCTTGTATTTGCTGCGTTACTGTTACAGATTTCTCCAAGGAGTATATTTGAGATTTACCGAATATATGTGAAGCAAAGCTGGTAGGGAGAGGTCATGAATGTAGATAAATATATTAAAAACCTGGGGGCACATGAGTTCTTCTCCTAATTTGGAGCATCTGGAAGCTGAAAATGAGTCCAGGTCATGCAAGTGTTCTTGAAAATCTCATTCAGGATTCTCTGCTGGGGTGAGTTTCACCATCCTGATGGGATGGTAAATGCAGCTCCAAGGACTGACTAGAGAAGTTTAGCAAGTTTTTGGAGGTTATAATAAAATCCAAAACCAAAGTAAGTAGGGAAAGACAGAGAAGAATTGGTTAATTACTAGGAAGGTTTTTGATAAATGTGCATGACAGTACACAGAGAAGTGCCAAGAGGGTTAATGATTTGCTTTGTAAACAGCTTTTATGATATCCTGTCAGGAATCATGAGTTATTGGTGCAAGAGAAAATTATCTCAGCTTTCTGTAGCTGAGCTTTCTTGTGCTTCATGACTTTCTATCAGTGAAAGACAAAGACCTGAAAAAAGAAGCCCAAGTTGTCTGGGCAAATTGCATTTTTTTCTGGGAAAGGAAATAACTCCTGGGTGCCTAGGTCCAGATTTGTATCTGGAGAAACCTCATGTTCCTGTGCCTTTGGGGCAAGCACAGGCTGTCTCTGGTGGGGCAGTGGCTCTTCAGAACAGGTTTGTATCTGTTTTGTGCTGCTCCCTGCACATTGTGAGTAAGCAACAAGATAGGAATAGTTCTTTTTACATTTCTAGTCTGATAGGATTCTTATTAGTCTGTTTTGTAAATGGATTGACAATTGTGTGACTATATCTACCTGAAAGAACAAGTTCTTATAATATAGTTCAAGTTCTCTCAGTATCTTTCTTTCTTAGTTATTTGTTCTGTAAGCATAGGGAAGAGACATGTGTGGTCCCTCCAGGAGTATCTGACTCCATTTCCCAAACTTTTGGGATTCAGGAGTGAAAACACTTCTGGTATTTCTTAAGCATTCAATGCTTCTAAGTCCTGGTCTAAGATAGCAGATGCTTGTGAGACCCTTACAGGGATTCTCCAGTCCTGGCTTGCTTCAGAACAGCCACAGCTGTGAACCATATCTATGTCAAGAACACCACACTGCACCAGGGCAGAGTTTTTCTCTGGGAATGCGTTTCTCAGACTATCATCTGTGTCCAGAACTGTCAGACTGTGCCTGTTTCAGTGGCACTGACCTTGCTCTTCCCCCTGGCAGGTGAGTGGCAGTGTGCTCAGTGTCTACAGTGGTGATTTTGGGAGTGTGGATGCCCAAGGAACTGTGGAATTTGCTCTAGACTATGATGAGAAGAACCGGGAGTTCCAGGTTCACGTGGCCCAGTGCAAGGACTTGGCTGTAGTGGATGAGAAGAAAGGCAGATCTGACCCGTGAGTGATCTTTTAGTGCCTTGACACTTCTACATTCCTGAATTCTGTGTTCTGGAGGACTTTTATTTTCTTTAAATGTAATGGTTCCTTCCGTCCTTCCTTCCTGCCAGCTTATTGGAGAGCTTAGCAATGTGGGACAATATCCAACTGCAGTTTGTTTTCTAGGTATGTTAAAACTTACCTGCTCCCAGACAAAGCTAGGATGGGTAAGAGGAAAACATCAGTGAAGAAGAGGACAGTGAACCCCATTTACAATGAGGTGTTACGGGTAAGAACAAACGCACACTCTGAAAACCTCTGTTGTAGTAGGCACCTCTGTCAGGCAGGTCTGGAAAGATCCTGCCTTCTTGGCCAGGTTCTTTGCCTGCCTCCTGCCAGCACCACACTGCTCTTCTCTGGGATTTGAGAGGCCTGGGATGTTCAGGGTTCCTCTGCACCCCTCTGTGTGGCACCCAAGATTTCTCTGCCAAGACCACACAGATCTTTGGATGCAATAGGGTCCTGCAGTCAGAGCAAGGGCTGTTTGTCCTCCCCCTTCCCTGGCATGCAGTCACAAGGCACAGGACTGGTAAGAAAGGTCTGCATTATGTGATCATACTCATCAAAGCATAGAGGATTATTTAACAATGCCCAGGCCTGTGTTAATAATTCTTGAAAGAATATTGGTTTTGCCCTGTGATGAATGGAATGCCAGGTTTCCCTGTGCTCAGCAGAAAAGCTTTGTCAGGGTAGTAGTATTGCTACAGGACAAAAAAAGAGATGTTCAGACTGAAGCCAGTCCATTGGTAGTGCATGTGTGGGGTAGGTTTGAGTGTCTCAGAACTTATTCAAGCTTTTGAGTAATTTATTTCTGTTTGTGAAAGAAGCAGAAGAAAAATTTGAGCAACCTGACTTTTCTTTCTTCCTTTAGTATAAAATAGAGAAAATGGTATTGCTGATCCAAAAATTAAATCTCTCTGTTTGGCACAATGATCCACTGGGACGTAACAGTTTTTTGGGAGAGATTGAAATAGACTTGGCCAGCTGGGACTGGAGCAACAGGAAACTCAACTGGTACCCGCTGAAGCCCCGGGTAAGTGTGTCTCAGCTTCAGTCCTGCTTTCTAGCCCAGCCCTGAAGCCTTGAGGGTGGCAGTAGTCCTTCCTGACTCCTCTGAGGTCTTTGGGTGGAGCAGAACAACGTGAACTGTGGTTGGGAAAAACCCCTGGACACCTTAGTGCAGTTCAGTGCTCAGAACAATGGCCTTCTCAGGTCTGTTTTGGTGACTGATCTGTAGGGACGCTTTCATAAATGCAACCTGACACTAATCACAGCAACTTTGACGTGACTTTGCCATTCTCTCCACTCACATGAATACCATCCCTTAAAAACAGCAGAGTAGTAGGTGAAGGAGCTGATGTACCTTGAGAAGTAAATATTCAAGTGCCACTGTTCGTAAAGCCTGTACAGCTTCCTGCATGCTTCTGGATTCACAGGTCTGATATGAAGTGCCTTTTAAGCAAATAGAAGACATTTATCTTTCAGAACAAAGATGCTTAATTATATCCAGCTGGGCATGTCTGGAAGGGTAACTTTGTACTCTGAATCCTCAGGCTTTTGCTTCTGAGAGACTGAGTTTGAGAACAAACCCACAGAGAAATGACCTGCCCTAAGAGTGGGCTGCTCCAGCCATGGAAAATCAGTTTGTCCATTTGTGCTTTTCCACTGAAGTCAAAAGCTGTTTGCCTTGCTGTGTTTCCACAATCCTCCATTTAGTCAGTCATAACCCTTTCCATTTCAGAGCCTCTCTGCTGTTAATGGTGTGGATCATCGAGGAGTGATGAGTTTGTCCATTAAGTACGTCCCTCCTGGAAGCCTGGGTAGGTGTGGTTCATGCATTAAGGGCTACTGCAAGTGCAAACACACAGCTTGCAATGCCTCATCTGCTTGGGGGCTGCTTAAAGAGGAATCTCATCAGAGCAAGATCTTCGAGATCAGCACAAAAGCAGTGTTTGACAGCACTGACTGCAGCCTATTTCCACATCTGGATTTACTGGGAAAGTATTGGGGAGAGAGGAAGGGCTGAACAACCTCCAGTGTAAGAGCATGTGGGCACTGTAGGGTGCTGTGATGTGGTAGGAGCAGCACAGAACCCATGTTACTGTGGGGCAGGCACAAGGTTGCTTTGGCTCAGCAGTTCCATCTCTTTTCCTGTCTGATAACAGCACTGGCAGGTGGTGTCAGGAGCCTCTGCAGCTGCAGCAGTGATGGAGCTGGCTGCAGCGCTGAGATCCCCAGGGAGGAGCAGTGAGCACACAGGAACCGTGTGGGTCCCTGGAGAGGAGCCCTGTCATTCTGGGAGCTGTGGCTCCAGCTGGCATGACAGCTTTTCTCTTCTCATAAACGGCAGGGCCCAAGAATCCTCCCTCTGGCGAAGTTCACATTTGGGTCAAAGACGTCAAGGACCTGCTGCAGCTGCGTCCGTCCGGAGTTGACTCCTTTGTGAAGTGGTGAGTGCCTGGGCATGGTGCTGCTCCTGCTCTGGGTCCCACAGAGGGCTGTGTTTCCTGCTCTGTTCTCAGGCTCACCAAGCTGTGCCTCCATACTGGAAAGCCTTTGTGTTGCACTGGGAGAATTGTAGGGGAGGATTGCTCTTGTTACTCACCTGTGGCCAAAGCAGGAAAGTCCTTGCCGTGATAAAGTTCTTGGTCAATGTTCAGTGCTTCATGCTGTGTGTTTTCTCCTCCCAAAGCTATGTGCTTCCAGACACCAGTAAGAAGAGCTACCAAAAGACCCGTGTCATAAAGAGAGACACAAACCCTGTTTTCAATCACACCATTGTGTATGATGGCTTCCATACGGAGGATCTGAAGGATGCCTGTGTTGAACTGACTGTGTGGGATCATGAAAAACTTACCAACCATTTCCTTGGAGGAATCAGGCTGGGCCTTGGGACAGGTCAGTATTTTCCTTTACTGAGCTACAAGGTAAAGTGGGAAGTTGCAGAGTATTTTCCTGTTGGAGAGAAACCAGGGATGGGCTGTCACAGTAACTGGTACTGTCATTGTGTCTTGGATGGAGGGGCCCTGGTATCATGGTAATAACTCTCTGTTCCCACATTTTCTGCCAACATCAGATCTGAGGTCTGGCAGAACTCAAAGAGAGTTTTCCTGCATGACAAACCTCCCAGGGAAGAGCACTCCGGGATGGACTGGAATGTCACAGGACAGCACCACCTGGTGACTGTCCATCCTTGAGGTGCTCTCTTGAGAGATCTCACAATATTACAATCAAGGCTAGGTGTTCCCTAGGGGATAAAGCTCATGGTAGCTGGAAAGTCTGCCTTGCAGGTGCACTGTAGCTGTTGGATTTGCCTGTATATTCTCTGTTTTCCACCTCTAATGTCACCAGCTCTCCAGAGGGAAGGCACAAGAAGAATAAGACATATAAAATACCAAACGTAAGGTTAGCTGTGATCTAAATTTAGACTTCTCTCTCAATGACAAATAATTGGCACCTAAAAATTTGGTTGAATTGGAATGGATGTACACAGTTTTCTACTATGGTATATTTGATTTCTGTAGAAATTAAACAAGAGAATTTTGATGAATACTCCACCTTGTCCACAGAAAATCTTTTAAGGAGAAGACCAAACCTTTAAGACCTTTATTGCTGTTCAAAAAGATGCAGAAAAGGCTTGAGCCCAATATTGCTTTCCTTGTCAGGTTATGTTTAGGGTTCTTGCATTTTGTGGCTGTTGCAGTGACTTCATTCTGAACTCTGGTGTAGAATGGGCATTTGCAAGAACACAGGAGGTGCTCAGGGTGCAGCTTGTTGAGGGGGAGTCAGCAGCTTTTATGTTATGACATTGCCTGCAGCAGTTGCACCCCACTGAGTATTTTTTGCATGGAGTGGGAACTCTGTGTAGCTCTCAAAGTTTCTTGTTCTTTTCAGGTTTGAGCTATGGCATCTCTGTGGACTGGATGGACTCCACACAGGAGGAGGTGGCCTTTTGGCAGGAGATGATGTTGGCTGCCAATGAGTGGATTGAAGGATTGCTGCCACTGCGCTCACTGGCAGGGAGGAAAAAGCTGAAATAACCCATTGTTGGTGCCACAGTGTGTTCATTAGAAGAATTGGGAAACTTCCTGAACCTGGGAGAAAGAAACCATCCATAGGGCTGCAAGTGTCAGGGTAATGAGGAAATTAATGGGCATCACCTTGGAGGTGTTAATGTTCAGTACTAATCCACTCACCAAGGACATGGAAGATGCCAAACTTGATGCCATACACGATTTTAACCGAGAAGAAACTTAATTTGCCTTTTTATTTAATCATTTATGTACTCAGTATATTTGAATTCCATTAAGCTCTGGGAATATTGGCAGAAGGAAAAGGAGATATGGATACTTTTTTATTATTATTATTTCTTGTGCCATTTTTCTTCCATGCAGAGATGTAGTTGTACTGAAGCAGCAGCATGGTATTATTCATACTCCCTGCAAGGGGTTCACTTTGTACTTGGTGTACAATTGCTCCAAATCACCAGCACAGTTTGAGAATGGGAGCTTTGCATTTGTCACTGGTGATAACACCTCTTTAATGTGAGGAAAATTGAGTTCCAAGGTGCATCTAAAGAAAGAGAGGATTATTTGCAGCAGAAAATGAAGAAACCTGAGGAGGATGACAATGAGAAATTTGATATATTAATTTCTTTCTGCTTTAATCTGAAAGAGTGCAGGGATGCTCTTAGAGATAGTGGGATTTTGCAAGCAGGGACTGTTTTCCTGGCTTTCCCACAGGCTTCCTCTGAGACTTCAGGGAAGTCTCTTTGTGAAAGGAGAGTTTGAGTGCAATATAAACTAAAATGTTTGCCCAAATGTAAAATATGGTTATACTGCTAATGGGCCTCATCACACCTTTGCAATGCCTTGCGTGCAAAACATTTCAATGTGAGCTAATGAGGTAGGAGTCAGTGTCACATTAGCCTGGCATCAGGGTCAGGGAGGAAAGGTCACAACCACACTGGAACACAGGAGATCCTGGGAGGGAGCTGGTGGGAGCGGTAAGTGGGGAGTGGGTGAATGTGCAGGGAGTGCAGAGCTGCAGGTTCCTGGGGGTCTCCTGCACCTGCATCCCCTGCTGCCCTTCTCCTCTCACCTGATGCCTGTTAGTGAGTTGTCAGTGGCATGGAATTTCCCTTTTGCCAGTAGCTTGCAAAAAATCTTTGCCATCTAGCACATGGACTGTGGTGGAGTGGTGTTGTGAATACATTTTGAATTGTAGTTTTGTAATTTCTATTTTGGATGTACATATTGTGATTAAATAGAATGTTTTCCTTTAGTCATCAGTTGGTCATCTTGTACCTATTTTTATCATGCTCTAAATAACAAAAAAGCAAGCAAAAGAGGTGTTAAATTTTGCTATGTCAAAATGAAGAATTTTTGCCAAAAGGCAAATGAAATGTCATGAAGAAATAATTTTTATAACTATCCCACTTTAGATTTTGGCTCTCTGATAATTTTGATATTCTTCTTTAATGTACTGGTTTTATTTAACTCAAGCCTACTGTGAATTTTCAGTTAGCAAAGATGGTTGTAAATAAATTAATGGAAAACTGTAAACCTAGAGCAAGCAACAAGACTTTTTCTTTAAATGGAAACATTTGGGATATAATCAGCTTTCATGGGAAAAAATAAAGAATTAAAGTAGTTTTGCAGTTGGAAAAAGACAATAATTGGAAATGCACCAAATGCAGTAATAAAAGCACTAGGAAAGAGTCCATAAAGATCATAATTAAGCAGTGACTGTCTAATGAAGGAGCTGATACATCTGTAACATCAGCCCAAAAATACTTTGTAGGGAGTCCAGCCTGACATGTTTTGTTTACCAAGACTTGGTCATTTATTACCTTTGTGGGATAACATCACAATACTGGGCCGAAGCCAAGAATTAAAAAAAAATATTATCCTTACCTCAGGTGCTGAAGATGTGACTATTTATACACGTGTAACTGACCTGCTGTGAGGAGCCCTGGTGGCAGAAGTGGGTGGCTGAGGTGGAACTGATGTACACACATCAGTGGGGTGGTGGTGGCTTGTTGCAGTGAAGTTGCCCATGGTTCTGCTGCTTTCCTCCTGGGTGCTTCCCTATCCTCAGGGACAGGGATGTTCCTGGGCCAGACTTTCTGCTGTGGCTGGAGAAAGGGTTGGTAGTACCAGGGGCTCTGTCTCAGGTCTCCTCCTGGTGGGTTCACTGATTCCTCTCCATCATGACACCGGAATTACTCCAGCTCCTCCTCCTCGTGCAGCATTGGTGCATGGCAATGTTGCCTAAAGTGCTGGTTGCATCAATGGAGCTGGAAATGGTTTTGTTGGTGTTTCAGAAAATTAATAGATTTTTCATTGGTGGTGCCAGGAAGGGGAGAAAAGGGGGTCAGTGGGCCAGTTCATCCCAGCAGAGTTACTTTTATGAACTTGGCATGGGACTTTGTGAGACTATTTTTGTATTCAGATTCCATTGAGGATTTTTTTTTTTCTAATCTTTTGCTGGCTTGTTTATTTAAATTAAGTCCTGATTAACTTAAGAAGCTTTCTTTGGCATTTAATAGTTTATCAGAGTAAAAGATTACACTGCCAAGCCACACACACTTTTGTCACACAGCTGATTTTCTATGCTCTCTGTTTCACTTACTGCACAGAAAGCACTTTGTCATAAAATGACTTAAGGCACATTTATTGCCAGTGTCCTGTGGAGGAGCAGAGGATCTTGTGGGTATAAGGTTAATGGCCTGTTTGCATGTGGTTTATGATGCTGACATTTGTTGTCTGTGAATGCTGAACCTCACAGAGCCTCTGGCCTGTGTGCTGATGGCAACAAGAGTGGGGTTGTAACTGGTGAAAAAAAAAAAAAGAAATAACAGATGGAAAGTCTTCTGACTGTGTTTACTGGTTAGTTGTAGAATGGGTCAAGCAAAGCTGTGTGAACAGGTGAATGTGGTTTGTGTCCCTTTCCTGCACACTGAGCTGCTGGTGCCAGCAGTGGGAGCTGAGGTGACCCTGGGCTCCTGCTGGACACAGGAGTGACCCCAGGGACTGAGCAGGGCCAGGAGCTCTGGCTGACAGCCTGGGATCCTCGGGCACCCTCCTTTTAGCATCAAACCTCAGCACCTACACTAGGGCTGGCAGCTGCTTTCCATGAGGCTTCTGCATTTGTGAGACAATGTGCTTTCTGCCAGGTTATGTCTGATTTATGTAACTTTTTATTGGAAATCTTCCCGGATTAAAAAAAAATGGAGAAAAAAAAATTGAGAAAAAGCAAAATTCTAGAAAGTATTTTGGCTTCATCAGGCAAATAAAATGTGTGGCCTACGGCCATTCAATATGTAATAGGAATAATTACAGGTATTAGAAGCTAACTAAAGAAGAAAGAATTGCTGAATCTTGAATTAGTGTTTCAGCAGAGATGGAAAGAAGTGGCTGCATTAATTATCCATTATTAAATATTTGCCTAGCTTTATCCTTCACGAAGATAGGGAAAACATTGAAGTACTGTAGAGATTTGGAGATAAAAAAATGCTGGCTAAATAAACCCTTGTAAAAATGTGATCTGTTAAAATTTAAAAATGCTGCATTTTTGCAGGCTTGTTAAGTCAAAAAATGTATCAAATAGATTGGTGTATCAAAAACTGAGTAAGTACATTTCTGATCCTGATAACTGAGCATGAGTGTACTCAGCACCAAGTGGGATTATTTGTTTTAGGTGTCTGTACTTGAAGAGTTTTCATGGCTCAATCCCTTTTCTTTTTCACCAATTTATTTTGCACCCCTCAGGTGTTAAAGGGGATGCCTTGGAGCAGATGTCCCTCTAAGCACTGTCACAGAGGTTGTCAGCAGAAATTGGGAAGCTCAGTGTGAAGACCCATGCAAAATCAGGGCACAGATTTTGGTACATGTTCCAGGAGATCCACTGACCACTGGAGAGCCCTTGAAACAGAAATCCCTTCCCATAAGGTCAGCCAGGAGCAGCCACTGCCTCCCAGAGGATGCATTTTTGGGAGGTTCCTGGAACTGGTGGCTCTGCCAGAATGAGCAGCTCTGCCAGGGTGAAGTTTGTGGGGCTGCAGGAGGACTCAGTATTTTGGGACAGCAGGACCAGCTCCTGGCCTGTCCTGAGCAGGAGATGGCTCCTTTGGAGAAATGAGGTTTGAGCAACAGTGGGCAGCTCCAGAGTGGCCATTCCCACTTTTGGGGTGTTTCCCACCTTCACCCATGCTTCTTAACAGGTTGGTTGGTTGAAAGTGCAAAAACTGAGCATCAAGCTCTAGAGAAATTACTATAAATGAGAAATTACATGAAGAAATTACAAAAAATTAGTTTATATGAGATCTTTTTCTTCTGAGAGAGGGAATTATGGATATATCTCCTTCAGGAGCCCTGCAGGGGTCTGGCAGCCCCAGCCCAAGCTCTTTTTTGTTTTGCAATAATTTCCCATTCACTCAGCTTAAATGCCTCATGTCAGATAGTAAAGTCTGAATGAAGGGTGAAGCTGTCAGCAGGCAGCAGCATCCTAAAAGGAGTGGAAAAACACAAACAGGAGTGGGGGCTGAGCTTGCCAGGTTGGCTGGTCTCACCAGGTTCATGCCTGAGGGCTCCAGTAAATATTCCTGCTGGAAAGGGGCTGATGTACACTCACTGCCCTGCAAGTGACCTGAAATATGTGCTCGCTTAAGCAGCCAGATATTTGCTCTTTAAAATGTACAATCATTTTATGGTTGAATTTGTCTCTAGGTTGTGGCAATGCAGCCTCTGGTGTGGACTCAAACTAGCTAAACCAGCCCTGCTTTAGGTTGCTTTAGGAGGAAAGGAAGGAATCCTGTGCATGAAGGCATTTCTGTGGGTCTGTTTTCCTTTTTTTCCAGGACTGCTGTCAGGGTTTAGTGAATTACTTGGCATTCTGTATACTATAGAATGGAAACTATACAACACCACAGAGCCACAATCCTACCCTCTGCAGTACCTGAAAGACCCCACAATTAACCCTTCACAGGCATGGCAGCTTGTGATGGGAAGGTGCTGAACAGAGTGGCTGCACGTGTGTTTTCCTCTTCTGTGCAGACCAGCCTGTGCAGCTGCTAAGCTTGAGACAATACCAGCAGGAACAGAAATCAGATTTCATGCATCTAACAACCCATAATACCATTATAGTAGTTGTTAACAATCCAAAGTAGCTCTTGAGCTGTAAGCAAGCAGTCTGAACTCTGGACTTGGAGGGGAAGCCAGGGAGCTGTTTTCTGATAATGTAAGTAGCTCAGACACCCACTTTATAGCAAGAAAAATCACAATAACCTCTTTCCCTTCCCTGCTCTCTCTCTCCCACTCACCATTACTAATTTATCCTGATTGTAATGGCTTCTCTTTGCTCTAAGCAGATCCTGTTCCCTTCCTGGGGAACAGCTACAAGGACATAATATTCCCAGTGGAGGATCTGTGCAAGAATTCAGGCAGGCTCAGGCAGATATAATGATCTCTTGATGGGAGGCCCCCTTTTCGATCAGCCAGCCCATGGCCATTTTAATGTGATCCTAATCTGAAATAAGACACCAGGAGCAGCTTCTGGAGTGAGCCCTCCCGTGGTAAGGAGCTGCTGTTTAATTTACTGTCACAGGGAAACATTTTGCAAATGTTTTATGTCTCTTCAAAAATGTTTTATGTCTCCAGCTGACTTGCTTGTATGTGCCTGCTGTTGGGGCTAGAGGCTGTGTCATGGGTGTTGAGTGGCTCCAGAGGGTGGCTCTGCCACTTGCAGGGATGTGGGGACAACCTCATCCTCTGTACACATCCACCCAAGTGGGCCACACCACATGAGAGTTCAATCTTCCCTGTCCACTCTGGCTGCAAAGCAAATGCTAACACTGCCCTGGAGCACTGCCACTAACTCAAGAGGATTCTCTGGTTATTTCTGAAGTTTCTCTGCATTTGTGTCTCTCCCACATTCTCCCACTGTCATGGATCCTGGCTGGATTTGCAGCCCTGTCTCTGTGCTGTTGTTAAGCTCCTTGTGAGGAGGCAGAGCCTTCTGCTCAGGGGATGGGGCAGTTGAAGCTGTCTGATGCTACTCTGTGCTGGGCCCTTTGTTCCTCTGCGGCCAAGGGAGAGAGAAGTGCTAGTGGAGGATGGTTCTTCCCATCAAGCTGAGTGGGATAAATAGCTCTCAAAATGTTCCTGCCTCTCTCAGCTGGGTACAGAAGGAGCCTGGGCACCTGGTGTAAGAGAGCTATTTAGGTAATGGGTTCCTCTATCGATGGGGGCCCATTAATGGAACAGCCAGCATCACTCAGCCAGGACTCTTTATCAAGCCTGTGTCTGCTTTACTGCTTTTGTTTTGATTCCAGTGTGACACTGGTAGCCGTGCAGGATGGCACCCCTGGAGCCCCAGCCAGCATGCCTAGAATTGCCTTGGTGGGCAGTGCTCACTCCCTTGTGCACTAGAAGCATTTTGCTGACAGGGGGCTGTTTGGGGAGGGAGATCAGACAAGTTTCCTGGGGACAGAGGCTGCCAGTCTGCCAGAGAACTCCACCTCTCCAAACGGCACTTTAGCCCAGCCAAAAGCCAAGGTGGGACAGAAG